CGGAAGAGGATTTCGCTTCCGCTGAACCCCACCAGAGATGCCATGCACGCAGCCTGTTAAGCTGGGCTGCGGGAGGTCATCCGGGTTTGATCCTCAGTAAGCAATTTTCTCACCTCTCTGCCACTAAAAGAGTGAGTGCAAATAAAGTGTGCAACTATCAATCTGAGGAGTGCTCCAGCGTCAGGGATGGATTAAACAGCCTCCCCGAAAGCTTTCTACGAAATTCTGCATTAGCCTATTATGCTGGCTGTTCAAAGAGGATAACCCAGCCACGGGTGGAGAAACCAATCGACTACCGTGAGAACGAGAGCTATTGTATTGGTCCCGATCCTGCAAACCGCATCTCACACCGCCCCGGTGGAGTCTAGCTGCATGGAGCAGATTGTAGATTGGAACCTTAGCCAGCGGCAGCAGTCAGGAAAAGAATACTTAAAAGTTATTTTAACGATTTCCCCCCATCTCCAGACGGCCTACGAAGCAGGCACAGAGTATGCCCTTTTGTTCTGATACGTTCATTACAGCGTTTTCAAACAAACAAGCACTCCCACTGACCTGATCAGCCAAAGCTGGCTTTTTAGAATATATCCGATGTAAAGCACCGTGCGATATGTTCATTACAGCGTTTCAAACAAACAAGCACTCCCACTAACCTGATCAGCCAAAGCTGGCTTTTTAGAATATATCCGATGTAAAGCACCGTGTGCAATTACACAGTAGGGACATCTGTTAACAACGCTTGTAGCCACAACAATAAGTTCTTTGTCTGCCTTGCTGAGTCCTCCTATGGAAGGAACATAAATAATCTAAGGGGGATTTCTTATGGAAGCTTCTCATTTTATTGCAAAAACGTGCACACAGATCAATGGTACTGAGAAATAACAGATGCTGCAGTCATTGGTTGGCAAGCAGCGAAGCCTGCAAGAGAATACATAGGAGAGCAAACAGAGACACGTCGTGACTACAGTAGCGCTGGCAGTCTGTATGGTAGGGGTGCTGAGAGCCATTGAACCAAACTTCTCTATGACGGTGCTACTGCACCTCCGGCTTCCCTACCTCCAGCACTACTGTCTATGACGGTGCTGCTGCACCTCCGGCTTCCCTACCTCCAGCACCTGTGCACGACCACTACAGTTGTGCCGGTGACTTAATAGATAGCAGGCTGAATCCTGCAGTCTTTGCTTTGGCAAAGTTCCTATTTAAATGTTGATAGGGTAAGGACTTCACTTTTGATCCACAGATAATCAGAGCCCTCGCTTTCACACAAAAGTAGTTTTACTCATGTAAGTCGTTAGTGGAACTGCTATCAGTCCTACCGACAATCCCTAATTAGTCCTATCGCATACGTGAAAATACTCACATACCTAAATATTTGCAGTCTACAGGTCCTTAGTCAGTACTTTTCTGTGCCTATTTCTGAGCCAAATGCTTCATAATTTTGAATCTTGTTACTTGACTCTTGAACCCTTAATTGTCGGTTTGAATTTTGTCCTTTTAGGCAATGTGATGTTGCAGGCCCTATTAGTCAAGGGGCTTGAGGAGGTTCGCTTTTGCGCAGAAGACAAAATAGAAATAATGCAGCTCTCATCAAGTCGGTGGGTGTGAGATTATGTTTTATTACCATCAGGACAGGCCACTCACATGGACCAAGCGTCCTGAGAGTGTGACTTCCTCAGTCATAGCTGGTAGGCGTTCGAATCCCATGGGCAGACCGAAGCCCATCGCCCTCCAAAGTCGTCCTAAGAATGTGACTTGAGCTGTGGTAGAGTTAAATATAAACCTAGGGATTTATAGATGTAATATCTCACGCTGTTAGGGTCTCTAGAAAAGCCAACAATTTTGCTGCATTTCATTTTTTAATTAAATTAACTGTTTTGCCCTTATGGCTGGGAAGACAGCTGTGTTCCTGAGCCTACTTCTGCTGCCTAGCTTCCCGAGCCCCAGTGGAATGAAATAAAACTCTGGTCAGTTTCATTTTCACTACTGCTTTCAGAATTCTGTAGGCAGCTGCCACACTGAGGAAAATCATGTCAATTTCACACAGCAAGCTGCTGGCTACTGTCACACGCAAGGGAGGTGTAAGGCTACAGGGTCAGTTTCTTTTAAGCTAATAGTGGGTGGGCGGCTCAGGATAAGGCTCTCAGCAGAAGCTCTACAGTGAATAGAGAACAAGAGACTCTACAGCTCAGTGTTGGAAAAAGGAAACTTTTTGCGATTTTTTTTTTTACAGTAGACACTGGAGCTGCTGATAGGAGACTCAGGAGTGGAAGGTGGAGAAGAGAGAAAAATAAAGATTCGTTTAGAATGGTGGGGGGAGGGGCGTAACAGGAGAGAGCAGAGCTCAAGCTTATCAGGCACCTACTAAATCCGCCACGCCTTAAGGTTTAAGCAAAGAGCAGGTAGGAGATGCAGCACCCACCAAAGCATGTGGTCACACATCGGGCACTGTTCTTGTACCTTCATGGTACCTCCAGCTCTGAAAACCTCACTCTTCTAGATCTGCCTCTAGTTAACAGGGATTGGGTCAGTTTTTCAAGCCAATTGAGTTTGGGTCAAATTTTCAAGAGGTCTTAAGAGATTCGGATTTTATGAAAATTTCTCCTCTATTGAAAATCTGGGAGAAATGCAGAAACGTTCGTAACACAATGTTGTCTAAAGATTTCCGTGCGATTGAAGCAGTTGTGTATGAACACTGGCACAGCGCACTTTGTCAAGATGCCCCTTCAGTACCGCTCGGGACCACAGGCACAGGCTTGATTTTCATCCCAGAAACACTCCAGGGTAGCCTGCAGCCCTCCTGCTTCCAGGGACTGCTGCAAAAAGCATATCCCATTCTTACTACTCGCCCGGGATATGGAGAACTTTGCTGGCTTAGAAATCCACAAAGCAGAATGGAGAGCAGCCCTGCTTGCTACAGTCGGTTCTGAACCAAGGACTGTCAGGGCTAAAATATTATCTGCGCCGGCAGCAGCAGCAGACACAGAAAGTTCTTACGTGGACCAGCATTCGAGCGTGGATTCCCATTGCATGCTGGGGCTCGTAGTCTCTGCTGGCTGTAACGCTAGGGGAAGAGGGGGCTGGCTGGGGCTTCCGACATGCAGAACTCAGCGCCAAGTGCCACGTTTGAGCCACTCTGGTCCTACAGTTTCAAGGCCCCACGGCGCGTACCTCTCTCTTTGTTCATGATGGCGTTGTAGTACGCGAAGAACGCGCGGAACTCCGCAGGCCGATGAGCCATCACGCTGAACACATTGGGCAAGAATCCACTCTGTCCAAGGGGGAATGAAAAGAGCTGTCAGAGGCTGCCACCCTACCACAGAGAGCCCACGGGCGGGCAGTCCACATGACGGAGCTGGCAGTGAAGGGGTTAATGAGACAGGGATGTGCTCCACACTGGAGGACTGAGGAGAGCCTGTGGACCCGGCTGCCTGCAGCTCATGCCAGGCCCAGAATGGGGGGATAAAAGGAGGAGGCCTTGGCCAGCTCGGGGCTGGCCAGGCAGGAGTGCAGACGTTACATCTCTTCCAGGGAGGGGGGCCTGAGGCACCCCCGGCCTGGTGGGGGTACAAAGGGGCCTGGTGCTTGCTGCCCCTCTGAGCTAGAGGCTACCAGAACAAAGGAGGCGAATAGGGATGATGCCAAACCACCCAGTATTTCTAACAAAGGGCCTGATCCAGAGGAGGGGGTGCAGGGAGGCCCACCCAGGGGGGCACCCTATTTAGCCATTCACATTTTGGCTGGGGCACAATGAGGTGGGGCAGCTCCCAAGGACGACCACGCATCACCTATGGTCTGATCCGGCCAGCTGGTCCCTGGGGTGGACTCCAGAGAACTCCATGGGTGCCGGGAGCCATGCCCATGAAATGCACAGCAGGATACGGGCAAAGCGAGACCCCAGATCCAGAGTTTGCCAAACTCAGGCCGGGTTGTGCTCTCTGGGGAAGGGTCTTCTCAGCAGACTCCTCTTACCTTCATCTCTACTTCTTCCATGAGCTCCACGATGTCGTACGGCAGGTCTTTCTTCTTGGGGACTGGGTAGCGCCCCAGTGGCCTCGTGGCATTCCCCACCTGCACCCCGTATGCACGGCTTGCGGCTGCCGCGTGCACCCTTCCCCACAGGCTCCCGGACACAGGGAGCAGCCGAGGCTAAAGCGAGAGGGGGAGAATGCAGCAGGATGGTTATTAGCTCCCTGTTCTGGGAGGTAGCCAGAAGTTACAGCTTAGCCGGTCAGCACGTTGCCCGGCCTAGCGGCTCTGATACTGCCCCAGAATTCATTGCTGGATCACGTTTCATCCTGACAACCTACACGGCCAGGGTCTAGTGTGCAGGGCACTGGCTCAGATGACCTGGCTTCTGTCCCTGGCTCTGCCACTGACCTGCTTGCTGTATGATTGTCTGGGACTCCCTTGGTGCCTCAGTTTCCCCTTCCACCTCAATTAGACTGTAAGGCACCTCATGGCAAGGACTGTCTCTCATGAGGCTTGTAGAACTCATAGCACAATGGGGCCCTGATCTCAGCTGGGACTGCTGGCATTTTTGCAATCCTGTTGCCATGAAAATGCTTATCTGTCATCTTCACCGGCTCTGCTTCCAAGAGGTGTCCTCTTACAGTCACGGCACTGTTTCTGGGAACGAACGCAGCACCGGGCAAGAAAACATACTGCAATGAACCAGAAAGAATGGTTTCAACAGAGGGCCCCAGCACACACACACCACCCTCTGCTCTGGCGAAGGGCATAACATCTCTTCTGCCGATGGCAGCTGTCCGGGGTTCAGATACTGGCCCCGGCCTGGCGTTGAGATGTACATCAGTGTCAGAAAATCAGTGAGCTGTCCCCACCTGTGCCTATGACACAGCCAGTGTGCGGCGCTTCACAGGCCCCCAGGGAAAAGCAGAGTTATTTCTAGATGCATTGCTCGGAGCAACAGATTGTCCAGAATCCTGCACTCGGATTTTTAACAAAATCCCTCCCGAATCTCAGTCAAGCGGCACCAACTTCTAAAGTACCATGAGTTGTGGAAGCCGGAGCGGCACTGAATTGCTCAGACCAATTCCTACCCCATGGCATGGGTTTAGTTCTGGACAGGTCACTTCCCGTACGTCACAACTCCGCCATCACTGGACCAGCACCAGGCTGCAGCGACGCTTTTGGAAGCCGTGCCCAACATGCCTAGCTGTTATGCAGCACTCTTCAGCTGTACCTCTGAACGGGGGTTAGCAGTATCATTACCCCATTCCTCAGACAGGGAAACTGAGGCACGGAGGAGCAAGAAAGTTGGCTGTGGTCAGGCAGTAAGTCAGTGGCAGAGCTTGGAACCAAATTTAGATCACCCTTCTTCTTGCCATGTTCCCTCTTCCTGCCTTCTCCCAGAAACATGTTTTCATCCACACACCTGCAGCCTAACCAGGGCATAACGCAGAGTCACTTGTGTGATCTTGTGGAAATGCTCTGGCTGTCGCCTGACCACAACGGGTGCGTGGAGATTCCATGGCTTAGGTTGTAAGTGCCTGAGCTCTCTTGCTGCCCTGTTTGCACAGCACCCGGCACAACGCAGCTGCAAGGCAAATTGCCACTCATCGCTGGGGAAAGACGCCTGCCTGAATTGCTTGAAACGGTGAAACATCTCTCCCTGGCCGCCCGGTCCTGATGTGCAATTTGCAGCCACTCTCTAAGGGTGCGCCGACACTGCACCGTTCTCCTGAAATAACCATGCGAGGTTCTGCACAGCCATTCTGTTATTCCAAAATAATTCCGAAATAGCGGACAGCTATTCCAACGGCCGTGAACCTCATTCTGCGAGGAATAACACCTCTTCTGAAATAGCTATTTCGAAAGCAGGCCTGTGGAGATGCTCCACTCACCAGGGCCTGTGGAGACGCTCCACTGCTGCTATTTTGAAATAGCCCCTCACCAGGGCCGTTCTAAGTTATTCCCCCTGGAGTTAACATGTCTACATTAGGGAAGCCGACCTCGGACTCATTTTGAGGCTTCCCTGCAGTGTAGATGCGCTATTTCGAGATAAGCTACATCGGAATAACTACTTTGGAATAGCTTATTTTGAAATAAGCGTGCAGTGTAGACATAGCCTCAGTGATTTAAAGACACCACAGTATACGTAAATGGCAAAAGAGGTCAGAGAAATTATTCCAACAATATCTGCCGTCGTGTCCTTGCTGGACAAATACCGTAGCCAGCCAAACATGCGTATTTTCACAAAAGACAAAGTCCAATGGCGCGTATATTTAAACCACAGAATGAGCAAGCGCTTCTGAGGCAAGAGGACTAAGAGGTGTGGGTCTAACTGCTCAGTCTAAAGGGAAAATTACAAAATCAGAAGAGCTAAAAATCTAAGCAACATCATTGACTTGTCCTAAGTGAAAGGAAGCGACAGTTCACCAGTAAAACAAATTTGCCCTTTGTTCCCCAGAGTTTTGTGTGCTTCTCTCAGAGGAAAGAGCAAACAAGGGAGAGCAAATGGCTAGCAAGCTGGGTCATTCCCTAACTTTTGTTTTAATCACTTACATCTGTAACTGAATTTGCCTTCAAATGTTTCATCTTACGGAACCAACCCAAACTAACCAACGTGACGTCCTGGGGCCAAGCCAGTAAGCGCTTCCACCAGCGACAGTGGGGCTGCAGCCAGGTGCTACCAGCAGAAAGCATGGACACTGGCGGTTGGTATTACTTCAGACATGGCTGCAGCCTCACGCCCCACGTTCAAGCGCCTCGGAGCAGGGATGTTGCTCTCTGACCTCAGGGGAATTCGTTCCACGAGTCGGGTACCTGCGTATGTGTCTGCAGGAGCGGAGGCATGGGAGCCAGTTACGAGATGTTATTAAGACACCCTTTGACTATGGAAAACATGTAGCTGTCCAAGAGGAGAAAATGGGCCCAGCTCACTGACAAGTGTCCTGCAGGCACCTGTTGCTGAAACTCGCCCATCACCGTATTCAGAAACCTGACGAGGGCCCTCCCGAAAGCGCTCCCGCAGGTCCAGACTTTTTCTAGAGAAACCCAAGGTCACAGCCACAAGGGAGGAACCGGGAACCCAACTCGGAGAAGTTCAGATCTTTTGCCCCAGACTTTGCCGAGCACCATCGCTTAGACAGATCGCTTCCCTAAACAACAGCCACTCAAAGGACAGCCGTGTTCCCCTTCCTGGCCAGTGTCCAAGGACTACAAAACGCCCCTCCTGCTTCCTGCAGACCTCGCCACTGCACAGCACCGAGCCACACCCCTGCATGGGGAAGGCGTGTTTCTGTACCCCGCTGCGGGACAGGGCCTGCCGGCCAGCAGCTCTGTGGCCTCAGCACCCTTCCTGCAGGACCTGGGAAGGAGGCTGCCTATGCTCATGGGCTCTTTCTGCTCCTTCCTTCCCACTGCCCTCTGGGGAGGCTGTAGCAGCCCCTCCCACCTTCCTCACTGCTGAAGTCCCTGGAGAGGAAGAGGTCCCTGAGGGGGCAGCCTGGCGTGGGGGTGGCATCCATTGCCGGGGGCGGGGAGCAGTAACTTGTGGGGTGCCACACATCGGTCTCTAAGGACCCACCCGTGGCATGACATGGGCAGACTGAGACTGGTGTTAGCACGACCTGGGTTAGCCGCACTCCCCTCCCCGCCCCCGTGCAGCCGGGCTGGGGGCAAGAGCCCTTCGCTGCGCTCGCTCGGCACTGTGGGCCCCAGGGCGGGCAGGCCTCCAGGCGCATGGGCTCTGCCAGGCCAAAGCAGAGGTGCAGCTGGGCTGGGGGCAAGAGCCCTTCGCTGCGCTCGCTCGGCACTGTGGGCCCCAGGGCGGGCAGGCCTCCAGGCGCATGGGCTCTGCCAGGCCAAAGCAGAGGGGCTGGCCTAGCAGCTGGCCAGGGCTCGCCGGAAAGCCCAGGCCAGGCC